GGGGGGGGGGGGGTGCCTCCTGTTCCGCAGGTCCTCCGTTCCCTGGGGCTCCTCATTAGAGATTCAGGCCTTGGGGCTGCGCTGTAGCTGATGAGTGCCCCAAGTGGGAGGAGGCCAGGGTCTGCACGTGGGGCCCTGGCCCTGGGAGAGCTCTGTCTGTGGTTGGAGGGGCCTCGTCTTGGCCCTTCCTGCAACTTCACTGAAGGGGGCTTGCTTTCCCTCGGAGTGCCCCTCGAAACTCGGCAGTGAGTCCAACGTCCCTCTGTAGAGAAGCGTATGCTGCGAAGTCTGGCTTCAGAATGTGCCTGGTTTCAGAGTCGTGCGTTTTCACAGAACTGGGCCGAGAGCATCCGTTCCCACTGCACCGAGCTTCGGTCTGCACACCCCGTGGTAGGAGAGTGGACCATGGCGTGTGCCTCTGCGTGCCGCCTGTCATCCTGAACCACACGGCCCGACCCGCTGACGTTCCTGTGTTCCGTAGGCCTTCCCGGGTAAAGGGCCAGTGGGACCCGTGCTCCTGGTGGCTTCCAGGCTGAGCCACACCACTGAAGAATCTGGAGCTTCTCTAACTGATTTCCAGAACTACGCAGATTCCGGGCCTCCCAGGCCCGTGCCTGCAGGACCCCTACTTCCCAGCGCATCCCATGGAATGAATGAGCTACCAAAGCAGTATTGTCGTGGCCCAGCTATGCTGGTGCCCAGCCTGAAGCCTGGCACAGTGGCCCAGGCCTCTGACCCCAGCAACTCCAGGGGGCCATGGCCCAGGCAACACTGGTTTGGGGCTGGCCTGGGCAACACCGTGAGAGGTGGTGTGGTGGCACTGAGACAGGAGAGCAAAAGCGAGACCTTGTCTTAAAAAGAAAAGAGGGGCCAGGTGGTGCCATAATGGTTAAGGTGCTGGTTCGAGTCCCAGACCCAGCAGCTTGAAAATCATCCCAGCATGTGTGCATGGGTGTCCAAAATCCCCAGAGAAGGGGTTATGGTGTGGCCCCCCGGGGGAGATTTCTCACTTTCTGTCTCCGTCTCCAGCAAGCACATACGCCCTGTAGTGCGAACGTCTCAAAAAAGAAAAAAATACTGTCAAAGTAGCACTGAAATGACCTTGAGGAAATCAGAGTATAAACAGTTTTTGCAACAAAAGAGCTCACACTGTTGCTTGTAACTAAAGAACCTGGATACAAGGCCAAGTTGTCCCCTGTAAAGCTGGTTAAATACATTTTGATACTTTTATATGGTGGGAGAGGGCTGTCAGCAGCTATTCTTCAGAGATTATTTGTTGAGGAGAAAAGATGTTGCGGAGGAATAATGAACAGTGCAACATGAACAACTGCACCCATTTTATTAAAAAAGTAAACAGTCTAGGGTAACTGACAAGGGTCCAGAAAGCAGAGTCCTGCTCCAGCAGCACCAGAAAGAATCCCGACTTGCTCTGCAGAGGGGGAAGACATCTGTGATCACAAGTCCACCAGAGAAACGCTGGGACACCTCCCGGTCGCCACAGCGGGGCGACTATCCCCACCCAAAAGCACACAGAAGGTTTCTTCTCTGGAGAGAATTGGGTCCAGCAGTGGCATAATGGTTACGTTTCTGGACTCCCATACAGTCAGCCGGGATTCAAGTCCTGGACCCACTCAGAAGCTTAAAACTCATGCCAGGCACATGTGTGTGCATGCCCAGGAGAATGGAGGAGAAAGGACTGCAGTGTGGCCATGGCCCTGGGGAATGCTTTCTGTCTTTCTGTCTGGCTCTCCAGCGACTGCACATGCCCTACAGCAAAAATTTCTTTAAAAAAAAAAAAAAGTTACATGAACACTGAGGAACTGTCCAAGCCCTCTTCCCCAGCGGAGTGGCAGCCCCACATAGAGCCCCAGGGAGGAGACGGCGAGATGACCAGCATGAGGAAAGACAGAAATGCCGATGAGGCTGGATCAGGCCAGTGAGTCACCCTGTAAGGCCCTCGTTGGCAAGCCCTGCCCACAGCTTCCCGCAGAGCCCTCTGCCCCGCTTGGCAGTGAGCCAAGAATCCCCAGACGTGGGGAGAAAGGTTCTAATATTAAACATGGGTGAGAGGGAGCCATGTCAGTAAAGGGAAAAGAAAAACAAGATTTTTTTTTTTAATTTAAATTCTCAGCGATCAGAGAACATACACATCCATGACCAGGCCAAGGTGTCATCCAAGGTGTCATTGTCATGGTGTGTTTTCTTTCTCTGCGGGGCCTTGCTTTGTCACACCCTCCCACCTGGGCCTTCTGCATCACTGGGACCATAGGGCCCAGACCCGGCCTCCCGCGTGGCCAGCCTCGCAGCCGCTGGGTGTGCTGGCTGTTTGGCTGCGCTCTGACTTTGGAAGAGGACATGAGGGCAGGCAGAGCTTACGTACATCATGTATGTGACAAAGGGACAAAGGGATAAAAGGCAGAGACATAAAGGGCAGGCCAGACCAGGTAAATGACGAGACGCTGCCGGGAGAGGGCGGAGAGCCGAGGTGAGGCCGTTACTATTCAGATCACTAACAGGTATGCCCACATCGCAGGGCCTGGCTTTCCTCCCTGAAAGGACCCACGCGGAGCTCAGAACAAGGCGTGGAGACAGGCCCCCACAAAGGGACGTTATTCTGAAATCGCAGAGCACTGGCACGACTTAAGCCATTTCTTTTTTCTTCTTAATTTTGTCGGAGGCCATATGCACTCGTAGGAGAGAGGCAGAGAACGACGGAGGAAGTGAGACAGCAGCCCGGGGAGGGTGGCCACACGGCGACCCCCTCTCCTCCATTCCCCACTCAGGACTTGGGGCACATAGATACAGGTGCCTGGACTGTTTTTCAAGCCACTGGGTCCAGGACTCAGACCACTTGATCAGCCGTGAAGGGGTCTGGCTTCAGACCAAGCCTGGGCCTGGGCTCGGGAGCTGGCCATTCCCTCCATGCCTGCTGTTCCCACGCCTCCAGTTTGCCCTTCCCACTTTCGCTTGCGCTGGCGGTGGGGGACGCGGGTCCCCAGCTCACGATGCTTCAGCGTAGGAGTTTCCGACTTTACAGAGGCAGGATGGTACGCGTTCAGTAGAAGCCGAATTTGGAGCAGCGTCCTGTTTCACTTTAGCACGGCACTCAGCAAATCAGGCAAGATGTGCGCGACTTCGCTCTAAACCAGGCTGTGTGTTCGCGGCTGTTGCCCGGCTGTCGGCTAGTGGACGTGTCCAACATGTCCCAAGCATGTCCGAGGCAGCCTCGGCAAAGCTACGATGCTCTGTCGGTCAGGGGTAGTAAATGCATCTTCCACTCAGGACATTTTCTATTTGCAATGGTTTATCAGGACGTAACACCGTCGTAAGTCGAGGAGCACCTGCACGTCGGAGTCCCGGGGCGCCCCGACTGGCCCTCCAGCTGTGGAGGTGAACAGCGCTGTATGTGAGGGCCGGCCTGAGTCAGCTGCCAGTACAGGGAAGATGGGGAGGGGGCTACGCTGCGGGACCGCCAGGAGCCATACCTGCTGCGTCCCCCGGGATGGTGCACCTCGAGTGCCTCAGGGGAGATTTACGAGAGCCCAGACCGTTGGCGAGGTAAGTAAAAATGCCTCGTAAATGCTAGGGCGCTGTGGGGAAATGTCGGCCGTGAGCCAGTCCTAAACTGCGAGCCTGCACTGCCCCTGCCCGGCAGACTGCAGGTCCCCGGCCCCTTGGCTCTCCAACTGGCGTAGGTTTTCCTTTTCTCCTAGCAGATTCATTTGTCATAGTCCCCTGACTTGGCCTCTTTCTCCTAACGGAGCCTGCTTCCAACTGCAGTGAAAAATTTGTGCATGTCATTTTTCAAAGAAAGTCAGGAGGGGGGAAAAAAAGCCCAAAGTTGGAATAGTTTGAAGCTCAAAACACAATGGATGTGTGTGTGTAAAATCAGATTGTCCTCGGAGCTCGGAGCCTTCAACCCAACGTCCATCTCATCTACTGAGTCACTTTCTTGGCCTCGCGGCTTCGATCTTTCACTAAGCCAAAAATACTTGCTGATACTAACCGCAATTTATTGAGTGATAGGATACTTGGACTGTACTTTGAGACAGAGCCTAGAGTCCCGAATATTAGACAATTAATAGTAAGGAAATCTTTTTGTCATCTAGCAAAAGTAAACTTCAAATTAATTAACAGTCTATACTGGAATTTCCGACTTTTATGAGCCTACTTTAGACATCTGGGCTTTTACCAGGTGCAAGGTGTTTGTTTAGGCCGACAACGTGAAGTAGGTCGATGCCTGCATTTGCTTCTCGTAAATCTCTCAGCGATGTCAACACTTGAATACTTAATGCTGCACTGAACATTGTTTCAAAGATAGTGTGGATAAAAGCTAACCGCTGGTGAGTCTGAACTTTGCTAAGATTACCTTAAGCCAGATCTTGGAAACATTCTCTGTAATGAACGCCAGAACATCTTAGGACATGGCCTCCAGTTCTTTAGCACGGAATTACCGAAACATGACATTACTGGACAACTACCAAGGCCATCTTCGCTCTTTCTTTTTTTCCCCAAAGGGGGCATGTGCTTGCCCGAGAGAGACAAGAAACAGAGGGAGAAAGCACCCCCGTGGGGCACGGTCCTGCTGCAGCCCTCCCTCTTGCATCTCCCCTCCCCATTGGGATTTGGGGCACATGGACACTCTGAGTGTATTTTTAAGCTGCCAAGGCTGGAATGCCAGCAGTGCACTTGCCCATGTGGGGCTCATCTCCCTTCACCTCCAGGCCACAGGGTGGGCCCAAGGCTCTTCTAATCTGCAATTTCCTTGCCAGCATCTCACCTAGGATGCTGGATTCCAGGTACTCACCCTCCCATCCTAATACAGCTAGCAATGGCCCTAGATCCAGTTCGGGCCAATTGATGGAAGAGAGACCTGGCCAGGGGTGGGAGGAAAGATTTCCCTACCCCAAGAGAAGGTGAGGTGCCTGTGGGCAGATGCCCTCTTGTCTCCACCCTGCTGTCTCCTTCCTGTTCCCGTCATGTTCAAGGACACACCGCTCAGAGCTCTAGCGGCCCATTACCACTGCAGAAACACGGAACTCCACAAGCTAGAGAGAGCCCGGTCGCCGGGGACCTCGGCCAGCTACAACGTCAGCTGGCGGGTCCTGGCTTCGTGTTTCACACTCACGGAGATTCACAAATCGCCACATTCCAGCCACCGGCCACGCTATCGCTTTTAACCAAAGACCTGTTTTATCTTTAATAATTCAGAGATAGGAATTATTTATGCAGTAACCATTCCATGCCTTCCTTTCCTGACGCCCCTGATTTTCACTCGGATGTCCACTCTCTGATGTAGCCTCTGTAGCCCTCAGAAACAGAATCTGAACCCATTTCCAGTGGCGATCGGTGGTTGGCTTAAGTCAGTCAATAAAGTCTACTCTTTTGCCATGGGTGAGGACCAGGTCGAGACTTGGCTTTCTTCACCAGGAAGGGGCAGACGCAGGTGTTGCGGAGCTTTGGCCAGCCCACCCCAGCTCCCGACTCACTGCAGAACCAGTTGGGCAGGAGTCCGCACCACAGTATGGCACTTGGGGGTTTGTTTTTTATACCACATTTAATCACATGTATCTTTACGGTGTATAACATTTCTTTTTCCAGCACGATTACCATGCATATCAGTTGAGACAAAGACATGCTGTTCACAGCATCGTCAAATAGCTTTTCTCTTTTTTTTTCCTGATTATTATTATTCTCATTATTTTTTAAACATTCCATCACTGCGAATCGTTCGACTTCTAAAGGCTCTGGCTTTTAAAGGTACTGGAAACACTGGAGGCGACGGAGGTGGCCACTCACTTTAGAATTGCTTTCCCAGCTGCGATGTGAAGTGGCTACAGAAGGTGTGTGCAGGCTGATCAGAGCTGCAGAGGGAGGAAGCTCTGAGTGGGAGGGCCAGCTCGGACACTACCAAGACTTTGAGAATCACTACAAGGAAACACTTTGTGGTGACGCTTAAGACGTGGGATCGTTTCCAGATGAGAATCCAGGCAGACTAGACTACTTCCATCAGTATCGGACCAAGAGTTGAGGTTGAAGTCGTCATCGCATATGCACAAGTCAACTATTTTAATAAATGGCTTATCAGCTGTCAAAAAAAAAGGACCAGCAGATGGCATAATGGTTATGTCACTGGACTTTCATATAGTCAACCATGGTTCAAGTCCAGGACCCGGCTTAAAACTCACACTGGGTACATGTATGTGCATGCCCAAAATTCCAAGAGGAGAATGGAAAAGAAGGGATTGGGGCATGGCCATGTCCCCTGGGGGTGATTTCTTGGTCTCTGTCTCTTTGTCTCTCTGGTGAGCAAACAAACCCTATGGCAAAAATATCTTGTTAAAAAAAAAAAAAAGCTGCAACTTAAATTGTCCAACTGGAGCAATCTTTAGATCCTTGCTTGAAATATGGGAAATAAGTCCTGCTCACTTTTTGACTGTGCAAATATGAAGCCTGGAACTGCTGCAGCCATTTTGCCACCATGAGGCAAGTCAGCCTTCAGATAAAGCTTACCCCATAGAAGGCCAGACAGACAGGAAGAAGCTAAACGCATGATGTCACTGAGGTGCTGGGGTCACCCTATCTGAGACTCAGAGTTTCTTGAGTTTATAATCTCTTTTATGAAAGCCATTTTGAGTTGAATTTTCTGTTCTTCACAACTTCAGAGGGCATTCTGATTTCACATACTTCCTGTCTGAACTTTTAGGTGTGAGGCAGAAATATTATAGGAATCTTTTAAGAGGCAAAAGCTAAAACACCCTCCCCCCCCCATATGCCAGCCCCATTCCCTAGTAGGAATCCACACTTCCTCACTCATTAAAGCCAGAGAAATAAATCATGTGTCCAAGTGTCACGGTGAGGTGCCCTGTCTGGCATCTGGACTTTGGGCATGGTCCTTAGCCCAGCTCAGCCCTGCTGATGTGAACATAAAATGGTGATGCTGGCAGTGTTCCCCTCCCAGGGAGGCTCTGAGGTTCAAGGGGATAACCGGGAAGACCCTAAGGGGCCTGTCGACAGTGAACTGCTGGGTGATTGTGGTCTTCAGGATTCTGGGTGAACTGGAGGTCTTTCTAGAGGCCCCAGGTCTGCAGAGCCATCCGATGATCTCTGGATGAGGCGCCACCTAGTGGTTGAAGAGCTCGCTCCCGCTCCTCTCCTTTGGGTCAAAGAGGAAGTCCCACAACACTTTAACTCGGATTTCTCCCAGTGCGGCCCACGTCACCGTCACCGGGGCGCCCAGGGTGACCAGTGGGATTCCAGCTCTCCCGACCCCCTCACCCTGACCCCGGCACACACCGCACCAGCAGGCAGAGATAGCTGCCCGTGGGGGTTCGTAGTTGGCAACTGCCCACTTCACCCTTGGGTGCCCCAGGGAAGGCCAGGTGGATTAGCAGTCCCCGTGGGCAAGGAGAGACCAGGAGACGGAGAGGCCGCCTCCGTGAGCAGGCTTGTGGACGGCTGTGTCGGTGACCTGTGCTGGCCAAGGGGCCAGAACAAGAGGAAGCATTCTGTGATCGCAGTTTCTGGAAGGCTTGAGACGGGGCCCAGGAGGCTTGGGCTCCAGCGGCACCCCGATGTGGCCGGACCTCAAAACGCCTCCTGGAATGAAGTCCGGGAAGGCTGCTGGAGGTAACCGAGCACAGCAAGTACCCAAGTCTGAAGAATTTATTCGGCTGCCAAAAAGGAGGGCCGAGGCTCCAAGGGAGAGGGGAGAGGGGAGAGTGGAGAAGAGCAGAACCCAGCGATAAGAGCAGAGGGGTGCTCACTGGAAGCCGGCGTAAGATAAGGACAGAGGCGCACCCTGGAGAACGCAGGGGACTCAGCGCCGGGCGGCTGGGGCGGAAGGGCCCCTGCTCCCGGGCCTCTGCACTGTCGGGAACTAACTGGGCCTTTGCGGGGGGGAGACCCAGTGTCACCCGGGGTGTAAATCCTGGAGGTACTTTCAAAGGACAAGGTTGGCCTTTACAAGCCTCTAAACATGCAGATCTGTAAGGAGGGAAGTACAGATTTCCTGACCTTTGACTGCTTCCCCGTCATGTCTGCCTCTACAGGGCCCGGCCCGTCGTTCTCTTCCTGGGGTTATTTTCTAGCTGTGCCCTCTGTCCCTGCTCAGACCCAGGGAAGGGGATAAGCCCGTTCTCCAGTCCAGCCTAGAGAGGCCACTCGGGCCGGCAGGCTCCAGCACCGCAGAGCCGGGGACAGGCCTGCGACCCCGGGTCCCCACTGTCTGCAGAGGCTGGCAGGTCTCCTCAGCAGGCCCACACTGCCAAGACCAGCTGCCCCCGCAGGGCACCGACATGCCTACAGCCCGCACCTTCGCGGGTCCACCTCACAGCGCCTGGGGTCCAGGCCCCGACTGGCTCCACAGCACCCGCGTTTCCCAGCCAGGACTCCCCAGGCGGCTGCCCCCTACAGCCCTCTCCCCCAGCAGAGAAGTGACAGTAATGAGGGTAGAGCCTTTCGAACGCAGAGTGGGCGGGACAGTTCTTGTGAAGACAAGGACACTGAGGCCAAGAGGATGGCGACAGGCCCAGGGCTCCGGGCAGGCACCAGCGTCCTCTCCTCCCGCCCACGCGGGGCCAGTGAGTCACCAGCCTTCAGCGAAGGAGCGCCCTGAGAGGAACTGGCACCTCCAGGGCCAGAATGCTCAGAGGGAAGAGGGGAAGAGAGGGGACCTGGAGGCCATCCTGGGAACGGAGGGAGGTGGGGCTGAGGGGAGGCAGGGCGGGCTCAGCAGAGAAGCCAGATGGGGCAGCAGCACGGGGTGGGACGGCCAGCCCGGTGGGGGTCCCGTGAAGTCGTCCTTAACCTGCACGCCAAGGCGCCGCTTCCCCAAGTAGGCAGTCGGCAGTGTGGGCTACGGTGTGTCCCGGGCCTGAATGGGGTCCGGCCCTGCCCTGCCCCTCTGACGGCTCTAGCCGGCTCCATGTAGCCACCTGCTGGCGGCCTAGACGGCCGTGCTTACAAGCCCCTGCACTGTTTCACAACTCCGGGCACTCTTCTTCTTAATTCTTCCTTTGTTCTTCCATGAGCATGAGAGAAAATGAGACAGGTGTCCCCAAAGGGGTCTTCACACCTGACCGGGCCCCAGCACGGGCCAGCCCGGGTCACAGCGGAAGCGGGGAGGTCTCTGGACGCAGACCAGTAAGTAACAGCTGTGTGTGTCAGCCTCGCAGACTGGCAGTACCCGCCGCTGCCTGGTCCCGAGAGCTGTCACCAACCGCACGGGTAGACAGGTCTCCAAGGAGCATCAGGACCACAGACGAGTGTCAGCCTCCCTGCAGGAAACAGGTCCAGGACGGTGAGGGCTGGGGGCTCGAGGCTAGGGGCCTGCAGCTGCTGGTCAGGCCGGACTCCGCCTGAGCCTTGTCCTTGGTGAACAGAGATGGTCGGGGGCTGGGTGTGAAGGCCGGCCCACTGGAGAGCACCTCCTGGCCCCAAACCAGAGAGAGCAGCAGAGCGGGAGACACTGCGGACGTCACCTCCGCCAGCGTGGACGTGCCTGCAGTCTTTCTCCTGGGTTGGGATTACAGCCACCATCCGGAGCTGCGAGTTGGGGAGACTGACTTTGCTGGGACTCGGTTTCCTCACCTGTCCCTCACCTGTCCATGGCGAGGTTGGACTGAACAGCCGTGCAGTGTCCCCCAGGCTGGCATCTGGCCCTGCTCTCTGGGAAGGCACATGGAGGGCTGGGCACGGAGGTGGCTGGGGGTGACAGGCAGCCACAGCGTGGAAAGGTGGCGGCACTGGGAGAGGAGCAGGGGTGGAAGTCACGGAGGAAAGTCGCCCCTTCTGGCCCCCCTGAGGGACACTGAAATAACATGCATTTCAAAAATATTCAAATGATAACATGTAAAGTTCCAGCCTCTTCCTATCTCACACTCATTTCAGAGCTAGATGACCCCATTGGCAGTGAGAAAATCTGACTCCAATTTCCAAAACACAAAAAAATCCAGTACACTTTCCGACGTGGGGCATGAAGCATGCTGGTTTCTGTCCGCCTGAGCAGCAGTTGCGGGCAGTGGTTAGGGACTGGGGCTCCGGGTCAGTCTGCATGCCAGGCCTCAACTCTAGCACTACTGAAGAGGGTGTGCCTAGGGCCACCTTCCGGGGCTGACTCATGGTGACTGTCCTCTGCACGTGGTTAGGTTGTGATTGGGTGAGGGTGTGAGGCAGGCCTGGGCTTGCAGGGTCCCGGAAGTAGGAGCGTGTCCGGAGACCTTAGCTGTGAGGACGCCTGCACACCGTGGCCTGCCACTTGCTGTCACTGTAATACGGACTCTGCCACCACCACCCCCCAAGTCCTCTTCTCCTGGCCTGCTCGCCTTCCAGCTCTGTCCAGGTGCCTGTTTCAGGGGGCCTGTCTAGGCTCCTGTTTCATCCATTGCCGGATACGATGGGCACTGGTCAATCTGCCCAATCGTGCAGAGGCCCCTGAGGAAGTGGTGGAGGCCACTATTCACCGGAAACAGGAAGGC